TCATTTTTAAAATGGAATAAGATTATTCTAAATTTCAGAATTTCTTTATTGTTCATCAAAATGTCTGGAAGAAAGCAATCTAAAAACAACAATGGAAAAGAGAGATAACAAAGCGTACACGAAATAGCTCCAGTTTGTTCAACTTAGGAAACTTAGCGTTTCTGCGAAAGTATTCTAAAATGCTGATAGTAACAAAAAAAAAAAAATATACCTAACAACAAATCAAATATAGCATCAAAATTTATATTTTTATTTATTTGTTATGTAACTAAATACATAATTGTCAACAATGCTTCCATAAAACTTGATATTTCCTGTAATAAATTCTTAATAAATATTATTATTATTTTACTGACGTGTTGGATAGTTCTCCATTTACACTTCCTTATAGCTAACCATGAAAAGAAATGTTGATCAAAGCTGCCTAAAATCTTTAAGCGCGTATGACTGCAAAATTATCAAGTGTTGAATACGCTCATATCAGCTGAATGCGTCATATATGGTAAAATATAGTTTTAAGGTATGCTATATCTATGTGTTAAAATGCTCAATACCAGGGATAGAGCATTTGTAATAGTGGGTATTGACTTCAATGTCCACTAATATATATATATATATATATATATATATATATAGTTATCCACAGACTGTTTTGCTGTATCACATTTCATCAGTGCAGCTAGACATGTGATTGCTTCAAGCCAGGATTGAAACTCAGTGTCAACACAGGACAGCTCGAGTTGCTACTCAAGTTTCATACTCTCATGATCTTCAGGTGACTAGAACTTAAAGAGTATAGATAGATATATATATATATATATATATATATATATATATATATATATATATATATATATAATCTGTCTATATTTCTGAGATGAGGTATTATAGCTGTTTATACTATTTACATTTATATTGTCATGCTCTTGCATGAGATGCATATAACAAACTTTATAAGACCTTCCATCCTCCTTAAAAGTACAAACATTTTGAACATTGACTGGACCAGTCCTACTGTATGGATCAGAAACTTGGACATTATCTGCTCGTCTTGAAAGATGACTGGATGGAACACATACAAATCTACTAAGAAAAATCCAGAACATCATTTGGAGACTCCATGCAATGCTTAACACAATTTATGGAGAACTGAGACCAATCTCTCTTAAGTTCAAACAAAAATGATTACAGTTTGCTGGCCATTGTCCCCAAGCGGACTGGGAAATCGTCTCATCCTTGCTCCTATGACATCCTTTTGGAAGTGTCTTCTCATGAAAAAGGTTTGGACATTGGAGATCTGGGGACAGCAATACAGGACTGAACAGTGTGGAAAGGGATTGTCAATGGAGTTCCAACCAACCATACGGAGGTCGAAGGATGATGATGATTTCCATATTCATATTTCAGCCGTTGTTAGCTCTGAACTTCTTCAAGTGATACATTCAGCTTTCGAACCGAACCTTTTATTTAGTCCAAGGGGGTAGATTGTTCTAATTCCACATGCCTTTTTTGAATAACACAGTATCAGGTAATGTCCTTTAGTAACTCAACTCTCCAAGTTTTTGTTCCCTCTGCTGTGGCCAGGGATTGAACTCACAACTCTTTTATTCACTCATATGGTCCAGTGGACATGCTACTAGTACGAATTTCAGTGGGAATTTGAATTTACAAGCAGTGCCAAACCACATGTATACACACTTAGGATAATGCAATTTGGTGTGAATTCTGAATTTCCCTCTCCTAGACTGGTTGCCAGCCAAGGCTATAGGAGCCAGTCTGTTCTGCTATTTTACCTATAGCTGAGAAAAGCCTATAAATTTTCTTTTCAGCAATTTATGTATATTCTCTTCTTTGTTATTCTTTATATAAAATCTAAATATAAAATGTCGCCATCTGTTGAAATCCTAACTTTTGAAAAAGTTGAATTTCTTTTTTTCAGTGGTTTTTAACCTCTTCTGTTACAAAGTAGCAGAACTCGCTATAAGTGAATCGGTCAAAGGCTTTGGCTCTTCATCACCTCGAAGTTCATTCAAGTCCTGTATAAGATTCTTTAAAATTAAATATTTTTGTTCATTAAAAAAATCAAAATTAATTAAAAATTCTATTCAATAACTCAATTCAACTATTTCAGTTGTATGGCTGCCTTGATTAATGAATCCTCTGCCATGTTTAAAAATAATGTCAAGTTGAGATTTATGTTTTAGAAGTACTAAATTGATAATTAAACAAAATTATTTGCAGATTAACCCAGTGTAACAAAGGAGAGAGATCTTTGAAATGCAGATTAAGCAAAGTAATTAAGTTCTCTAATAACAATTTAGGTGATCAATAGTTAATTACTTCTTGAGCTTGGCTACACTGTAATGGCTTCTCATGGGTCAATTGTGAAAAACTTGCCTGCCTTGAAGGCAGTTTCTCAAGTTATAAAGGGAATACAGGTTTCATTTTTGTTTTGGAGGCATGTTTTAATAAGACTTTCAATCTCGAAGCCAGTAGATATTACTTTCAGTTTTTTTTTTTTTTTTTAGTCAGAGGGGTTAAATAGGATGTTTACTCAAACATAACTACCCACTAAATATGTTTAAATTAATAAGAAATTGAGCACTTCTGTTTATTTCTTTTCAACCTTAACTAGAACACATATAACACTAGGTGTATCTCTCTCTCTATATATATATATATATATATATATAATTATTTTTTATAAAAAAATTTATAACATAAGTATGTTATAAAATCACTACAAAAATAGCCATTTTGTTTCAACATACTCTGTGTCTTATCAAGTGATGATGTTGAAAAGAAAATAAATGGTTTTAAAAGTTTCAGATTAATTAACGATCCTACACTAGGGGGAAACATTGTTACAAAAGCTAGAATAACCAATCAAAAACAAAGTATAGAAAGAGTCAAAAGCTTGACAACGAAATCATGCTATAATAGCTATTCAGATCTTTAAATATATATATATATATATAATGTGTGTGATTAAATAAATTACAAACATTATATCTGCTTATTTTGATCATAATCCTTTCATATTCATGAAAATTTTTCCATATATTACAATTAAATGAGGCAAGAAATAGTTGTGAAATAAAAGTGATTCTCACTGTATTAAAATTCTTCTGAAGATATGGAAACCTTTACTTATTAACACAATTAACAGATATCTATCCACATTGTCTGCTTTTCCTGCATTTTCAATATTTTGTGATGGTTACTGATATGTGTTCAGTGTTTTTATTGAACATTTTTGTTGGTGTGATTATATAAATAAAATATATGTTGAATATTTTAGTAGATGTTATTTGATCCTCATTCAGCTGGCCATTTTGTGGAGAGGCCATTTTGCTGGCCATTTTGTGGAGAGGCCATTTTGCTGGCCATTTTGTGGAGAGGTAACCTAAACTTTTTCAAGGAATTTTAATTTTCTCTCTCAATATTCAATAAATGCAAATGAAATTTACATAAATAATGCCATTGTTTTATGGATGGTATGCTAATTTGAAAATAAAAAACATTATTTAAACAACTTATCTGTAAAGACAGAGTTCCTTTTACGCAGCAAATAGGTCAAACAACATATTTCTCTACAGAGATCAATCTGATTTATTAAAAAGTTGTCTATTTTTAGACATTGGATTTGGTTTGGCTTGTTTTTTTAATGACATATCAACTCCTTATGGGTCAATTAATGCTGAAATTTGATTTTCTTGGGAACTTTTTTAATTTATTTTTTTATTACTATTAAAATCTATTTCTGGAATTTTTACTATAAAAATCTGTTTTTATATTTTCATTGTATTTTGACTTCTGTTTAGGGGTTAACTATTTGAACATAGCTGGGATCCTAACAGTTGCTACCACTCTGGGTCAGAGTGGACATGGGAACAACAGAAATTAAGAGGTGGTTCCACACTCCTCAAAACCTCCCAATCAGGGGCCTTGCTGCCAATTTATTGTTATACCGAGGATGTTTTAGACGTTGGAGGTACAGGGATCAGATGATGAAATCTACTGGCTACCTGCTTTGGTTTTGTTTTTTTTACAAATAAATCATGCCACTAATGATGTTTTAGACAATATTTTTTTTCCAATTCATTTTTGAGTATCTGTCAAGTGATTAGGGAATGAACCAGAGATTTTATAGATTATATTTGAAAATTGCCATACTTCATGGTGAAAGGCTTTTAACAATATGCTATTGTTTAGACTATAATACTGGAAATAATCTTCTGAAGATGACATTATTTATTAACACAATTAACAGATATCTATTCACACCGTCTGCTTTTCCTGCATTTGCAATATTTTGTGATGGTGACTGATACGTGTTCAATGTTTTTATTGGTGTTATTATATAAAGAAAATATATGTAGAATATTTTAGTTGGTGTTATTAATCATCATTATTATCCTGGTCATTTTGTGGTGAGGCATTCCAAATTTTTCAAGGAACTTTTAATTTACTCTCTCAATAGTATTTTATTAGCCACACTCCATATATGAATAAAATCTGATCTAAACATGACTAATTTCAATGAGTTTTCTTATAACTAATCTTCTTATTAGTATGATCTATTTTTCATCAAAAATGCATATTTGTGTGAGTTTAACCTTGTTTTGGGGCAGCTCAATCATATTTGATTGAATTGCAATGCAACAATATTCAAATTTTTTTTTTTTTTTTACCATTAAAAATCTTCTGCTATTTCTTGTTTTCAGTAATATTTTACAGAGAGCCATGTTAAAAACAATCATTATGACAGTGATATAATAACCCAAAAGAAAACGGTTTTCTTCAAAATTGGCCTCCATTTTGGCTGTTAATCAAATTTTTGCATGGCAGATCCTCAAAAATGTATAAACTGGGAAAAATTGCCAGAAAACATATTCAAAGGATTAATATATTTCAAAAAACATGGCAGCCACTATATTGCTATATTACTGAAGAAGGTTCTGGAAAATTAGTTCATACCTCCGACCTCTATTATTAAGAAATTAATCACTTTTGCTTATTTCTCTTCAACCTGAATGAGTCTTCATATAACACTAAATTGGTCTGTCTATCTAAGCCTGTTTATTATCTATCTATCTATCTATCTATCTATCTATCTATCTATCTATCTATCTATCTATCTATCTATCTATCTATATTTTCCTTCTCCTAGACTGACTGCCAACCAAGTTTGGAGAGTACAGACTATCCTGCTATTTAACCCATAACTAGGGGGAAAATAGAGACATTTATGCCTTTCCTAAGAGCATTAGTGTGAAATTGAATGTAACTGACTAGGTCGCAATTTGAACCTCATTTTCTGCACCAATAAATTACGTTAAACTTGATAAATAAAAAAAATTTCAAGTGTTACAAATCCAAGACTTTTTTTTTTTACATATCTTGTAATATATAAGTGGACATGGGTATCAACTTTGAGTAGCAACAGTCTATTTCATGCTTGAACACAATTTTCAAGCCACTTTTATGTTTACACACACTCTATCCCTGATATTGAGATCTATGTTAAATTATTAGTTTTAAGCAATATTTGTGTTTTTTTGCTTTGTTTTTTTAAGTTAAACTTTGGATCTGTTTATTTTTTTATTTTTTTTTTTGTTTTTGAGAGCTTTGAAAAAAAATGTCATCTATCCTCTACATACTTCAAAAGAAATAAATTCTGCATAAGGTGTACACAATAAAAATAATTTATATTGTTTTATTAGAAATATATTCTTAAACCATCGGTCTTAAACTTATTTACGCTAGTGAATATATATATATATATATCAGTGGTGACTCCAGGTTATCACTGTTTATCACTCAATACAATCTTTAACAAAATATGAAAGATGCTAAAATGATTACTTTTTACTCTAAAATATATAATTTAAAAAATCTCTAACCAGATAGGTTTTTTTTTTTTTTTAAAAATAACGTGTGTATCTATCTAAAGTGTGTGTTTGTATATATGTCTATGCATTAGTGTGTTTTGTATCTTTGTATCTGTGAATTTTTAGTTTAATTTATTGTACATTATCAGGTTGCTGATTGATATCATATTTCCTCAACATTACCCCTGTTATTTGTAGCTATTTAATAGAGTTGTTCATTAACTTTTTACTCATAGGCTTACAGCCACATCACGTAACACTGGTTCCTGTATGATCACCGAAATTAAGCAATGTCAACCCTGGTCAGTTAGATGGGTGACTGCTTAGCAATACCAGCTGCAGGTGTGATATGCAGGTGTAATAGATAATGGCTCAGAATTGTTAATCCGAGTGCCAAGTTCCAATTCTCTTTGGATTCATTATTTTCACTTATGCACAAATACCCTTGGGAAAAGTATGAATCCACCTGTTCTCTCCCCAGCTGTGGGTTTATTAGTAAGAATGCTATCACTAAGCAGTTATTATCTCAAAAAAAAATTCTTAAAAATCTAAAAATATATATATTTGTCTTTAAATAACCTGCAAATGAATCAATCAGTTTTTACTGATTATATTGTTTATCTTGGAATCTATAAACATTTACTTGGTTAGGAGATAGGTAAGTATTTTTTATATATATGTGGGGATAGGTAAATATTAGTTTATATTTGAGTCTATAGGCATTTACTTGGTTAGAGCATAGTTAAATATTGTTTTTTTTTTATATTTGAGTCTAGAAGCATTTACTTGTTTTGGGGATGGGTAAATATTGATCATTTTATAAGAGTTTATTTGGTTAGAGAATCGGTAAATATTAGTTGTTTATATTTGAGTCTATTGGTCATTTATGTTTGAATTTATAAGTATTTTACTTTGAGAATTGATTTCTTTTTTTTTATTGACTTTGTACACATTTACTTACATGTCCCCTTTTGATGTAAACGATCTTTGCCCTCCTCTCCTCCCTCCAGGGGGCATGTAATCGGCATATTCTAACCCCCTCCCATCCATTTGGTGACTTAGTAAGATACTATGTGGATCATTAAAAAGTGGGATTTGCTCAAATTAATTACGAACTATGATTATTTTATCACATTTCAAGAAACTAATTAAACAGATTGTTAATTTATTAATGCCATTAATTTACTGATATTTGAAACTTTATTGTTTCAGGTAATAATTAAAGCAGCAGAAATTATTCCTCAAACTTTAATGGTGAGAGAAATGAAAAGAAAAACTCAAAGGAAGTTAAAAAAGAAAGTCTCTGAACTTGACTCATTAATCAGGAGCAGCTCAGTTGCCGTCTTTTAAATGTGTTGCTAATTGTCGGTAATTTAATTTGGGGAGGGCAATTAGTGAAACAGTTCTTTGTTAAAATCCTTTTCTTTCAATTTTTTGTTATTTTACTTGAATATAAATGAATAAATACAAAAGAAAAACTTAGCCGACACATTTTGTCTTCTGAGGGACTTTATGCAAGGATTTTTGTAATATAGCAACAACTCTAAGTAGAACATAATGTTGCTTTATTTGACTAATTCAGCTTTAGTGCTGAAAATGTTTATTTTATTATAATAGATCATTACAAGTGAAAGGAGATATGGGTAGTGCTTATTTTATCATCACAATTTTATTTTGTAACAAGTTTTTATATATATAAGTTTTTATATATATATAAGTTTTTATATATATAAGTTTTTATATATATAAGTTTTTATATATAAGAGCAAAAATGTTATTGGTTTTTCAGAATTTTTAAATTTAAGAACATGCATAAATATTCATCAGGTTGGTTTGAAAAGTCAGGCAAACTATGGAGGACACAAAGTGACACAATTCAATGTTTAAGAAAGGAAAGTTAGTGGTGTTCTTTAAATTTCAATACCACTTAACCATGTCTTTCTTCAATAAAAATGAATATTTTCCTACATAAAAGACAACGATAAAATGTATGCAGTATCTTAAGTATATGGGAAAACAAACATTAACTCTATTGCACTATGTCATTTTAGGATGACACCTTAGGATATAGATGATGAACCGTATCAACCAACTGGCCAGGTTTCTGGAATTTACACATCTTAGTACAGGGGTAGTCAACCTTTTGGAGAGAGTGACCATTCTCAGAGGGGGGGCCATGATATACTATAATAAATTGACCAAATATTATTATTATTATAAAATATATTATCCAAATATTAATCTATGCCCAAGGTTTTTTCCCAATATCACCTTTCCTAACAGAATTACTCCTCTCCTAAGCAAACATACACAACTGTATCAAGAAATCAAAAGAAAATGGTTGAATCTGTCAACACGACAATAAAAACAATATTTCCACATGTGATAGTACTTGATGTAATTTTCAGTTGACAATATGAATACAATAGCATTTTCTAAATTCTTCTAGCTACTAAGGACATTTTGTTTTGTTGTTAATAGTTACTTTGTTTTAATAAATTCATTTCGTTTTTGCCTTGAAAAAGTCCACATTGGACAAAACATGTTGGCTAATACAGTTTTCCTATTGTCTTTTACCTTTATACATAATAAATTGTCTCAATCTCAGACCATTTCATCCAGAAGGGTACGTTGGTCTGAAGGTTTAAAGAAAAAACAAATATAATATTTAAACAAGTTTCCTTATTTTACTGCAGGAAATACAGAATAACAACTAAAACAATAAAAAGATGAAAATTCCTTACTCCAAGCAAAATATAATTAGAAATGACTATTTAATGAGACTTGTTTTGTCTTATTGCCCATTAACATCTCCACATCAAATGAAATATTTGTTGATGACAGGTGCAAACTGTCATCCAGGTGTTCATCCACAAACCTTGTTTTTAAACAACTTTTAGTTGTTTGCAAGCATATGTACCTCCAAATAATAAGACCATCATTTTTGCATTATTCAATAAGCTTTTATATTTTACGCTTGGCAAAACATATTTTTTGTAGAAGTCAGAAATGGATTCGGAATTAAATTTTGATTTAAAAAATTTGTTATATTGTAATTCAGTTAACTCCAACTGATATTTTTTTGCCATTTGCTCCACAAATTAGATAATTAGTGTCCAGATAATTAAGATATTAAATAATTAAACTTGCGGCTGAACAAAATTCATTCACAGGCTAGATGTGGCCTAGAGACTGGGGGTTGCCAACCCCTGTCTTAGAATCAAGAATGAAGAAGTGCTATCTCTCCAACAAAGGTTCATTCACCAAATTCTATGGATATCATTCTTATTGATTTCAGTTGTTCCTCAATTATCTGGGCATCTTAGAAGAGTAGTTGGAAAAATGTTTTGATAATTCAAAATTTCGAATAATTGGATACTTACGTTATCCAAAAAGAATAAAGGCCCATCCCCAGTATTTATAGACAAATCTTACAGATGTGTGCTGGGAATTTTTTCCTAGTCAATAAAAATAGTCAATTCTCAGTATTGACAAGACATTGATGCCAAAAGGCTATATGCATATAATTGTATCTCTTTTAAAATTTTTCAACCAACAATAAAAAATATGCTTTGTGATCCCTTTTGAAGAGTATTTAAGCAAAGTTTCTAGACCAAATGAGGTAGTAAGGGGAGTCAGGCAGCAATCACTTCATAATGCTCAGCCATCCATCTTCCTCAACAAGCTACATAACACTTACTTTCCTCCTTAATTTTCTCCCTTGCCGCTTCTTTCTCACACATCTATCACTTTTGTTTTTATCTTAACAAACAACTACAAACAAGCACTGTAAGAACCTTAACATTCATACAGAATAAGAAAAATTTAGTTGTAAAAAAGATAAAAATATCTTATATTTTTATATTTAAGCACCCTTACTTGCATAATTTATATTATTTGAACTGTTATCCTCATCTTCATTACCATATAATCAACATTTCAGCTATTGTACACTCCAGCTTTCTTCAGGTGATTGGAATTTTGAACTGAACCTTTTATTTTGTCCACCGGGGTAGATTGTTCTAGTTCCACGTACCATGCCTCTTCTGAATGTTTCAGTTATTTCCTTTTAACTCAACCCTCCAAGTTATTGGTTCACCACTGCTGCAGCCTGGTATTGAACATCTTTGGATTTAATCACTGTATCTAACCAAGGCTTTATTCACTGGGCCTTGAGGACACATATCCCAGTGAATATGACATTGAAGATTAGGATAACAGTTGGAATAATGTAAATAATGCATTTAATCATAATACCTCATCTCAGAGATATAGACAG